TTAGCATGAAAAAATAGGTTTTTAAGATTTATTTCGCCTGCATACTATGTAGAACTTTTTTTTTGATAAACAATCACTGGTCCTTTTTTAGAATTAAATTATCTACAAAAAATCTTACAGAGTCCAGTTTGTAGATTCTACTCTTTCTTTTTTATTAATGTTGAAACGTATAAATTCAAAAAAAAATTATATTTTTACATTTAGCGGGTAAAGTACTAATCGTAGAAGAAAAAGTTAATTAGCATTTCTAAAGATCTTTTAATGTTAAACAAATTCGTTTTAAACAATTTTTTTATCTACTAAACATAACCCAGTAAGCACAAGATAGACGGGCCGCTTAAGGACCGAATACGTTTGGCCGAATTGGCCGCGTTCGGGCCGCTACACGGTACAAAGCCGGCATGTACACCGGGCATGTCCGCCCGGCCGCCTGGACGTCTTTGAGAGCTCGGCCGCCTGGTCGGCTGCGAGGGCTCGGCCGAGTGTCGGCCACCACCGTGTGGCCGGGTGACGGCCATCACCGTGTGGCCGGGTGACGGCCATAACTGTCTGGCCGAATGCCGGGCATGTACGCCCGGCCGAATGTCGGTTAATAGACGGCCACACGAAGCTGCAATAGATAAAATAATAAAAAAAAATCAAAATTATAAATAAAATGTTTATTCTTAAATAAAATTTCTACAAATAAATATAACAATATTCTAAAACATAAAATAAATATCATAAATAAATAAATCAGTTCAAAAAGTTTAAATTTACTATATAGTAAATTTAAACTTTGATGTACATCAGTATAAGAACCAGAACATAGAAACAATAGAGTTTATACATAGTATACACGGAGAAAAATATATATTAAAATTTGTTATAAGATTTAGCTGTCACTATATTTAACGTAAAATATAATAAATATTATTATATTTCTCATATCATTTATTATATTTTATGAGAAATATAATAATATTTATTATATTTTACGTTAAATATAGTGACAGCTAAATCTTATAATAAATTTTAATATATATTTTTCTCCGTGTAGTCATATTGAAAAATCGTCATGTTTATTTCTCATTGCCTTTCCTTCTGCCGGTTCATCCACCTGCTCGATCGGGAGCATTTTTTAACCATATTTTAATGGCCCCATTTATTTCCGAATTTGTGGCACTGGAACAATTTAAACAATTTAAACTTCGACGTATTCACCCTAAAAATAAAAACTTAAAAAAATGGTTATAAAAGTTTTAATAAACCTTACCATATAAAAGCTTTAAAACATAATCCAATTGCTGAAAGGAGCCTTTTTCGTTTGCCCCCACCCAGTTGACTTTAAGTGCCAATTCATGTTTTATAATGAACGACAGCATTTTTTTTGTTACATCATTTAAATCTCTTCCTCCCAGCAATGATAGCGAAGATTGCTTAAAAAATAAATTATTTTCAGTTTCTAAATTTCTATTTTCAGTTTTTAAATTTCTAATTTTATCAGGCTTCTTTCGTTAATGAAATTGAATAGGTACACAAAGGCTTAATAATCGACGACAAATTACACTGGGCAAACCACATAGAACTTATCAAAAAAAAGTTGTACCTATACTTATGGTAGGTGCACTTTATAGATGTGAAAACTATCTAAATTGTTCATCACTATATCAAATCTATAATGCATATTTTCTGTCGGTAAAACAGGTGCTGGCGTTAAATCTGACACATTTTCCAAAGGTGAAATATCACAGTCTGAATCTAATATATTAAAATTGTTATCTTCGTGACTATCAACTAAACAACTTTTTTCTAAAGGTAAAATAGGTGGTGTATTAAAATTGTTTACTTGAATGTTTGGATTACTACTGGTGGATGGTAAACTTAAAAGATCTTGTGAACAATCCTCAATAAGGCATTTCATCTGTTCAGCGATTTTTCGCCGTTTTTGTCTAATACTTAGATTCATGGTAGGTTACTTACTGTTCATCCATGATAAAAACGACACATACAAAACCAAAGTCAACGTACTTTAAAACACTTTAACAACAATGTAGGCACAGAGTGAATGTGGGCGACCTGCCAACCATAAAACAATGTTTAACCATATAACAATGTATAACAATAACTTATGTTCTGTGCGACCTGACAACCATAAACAAAAACACCACAGATTATAAAAGAAAAACACTTTCAACGCAATTATAACAAACACACGGAATGGCGGCAATGCACTTGTCGGACAACAGAACGGACTGAGCATGGTTGATAGCTATTGGCCAACGCGATAACCCAGCAAGAGCGGCTAATTTAAATCTCGCCCAAATCCAATTTACAATATTAAATCGTGATGCTGGCCAGGTTCTGGACGGCTTCGGCTAGAATATGGCCATTCGCTAACCGGGCTTACATACACGGTCCGTACGCGGATCGGTTGGGGGCAAGCCGAACCGCATATGCAACGGCATTGCCACAGTAAACTGTGGCATTGCCGCTATCTAACCGAACAGGGTTAGACGATGGCCACACGGTAACCGGGCTACCATAATGAGGACCGTAAGCGGGCCGCCTGGGGCAAGCCGAACAGCCGGCCTGCCGCTTGTGCCGAGCGGAGGCCGACAGTTTGCCGAATGCCTTGTGCTTACTGGGAAGTGCCTGTCTTGCGCGCATTACAATGTACTGCGACGTTTTTTGAACTGCTCCCTTTAACCGAGTCTTTTGATTTCTGTGAATAAACTTCGGGATACAAAAGTATATACAAAAGTGCTCTTTTAGTTCCACCCTAACTTCCTAAGAAGTCCCAGAAGCCAACTGAATGACTTGTGCGGGTTAGGGGTAGGAACGGACCGCGGGCAAAGTCCCCTCCGAAGGACTAATATAAAATAGGACAAACACAAATAAACAACCATACCAATGTAGGACTCGAACCCACGACCTCTAGGTTTGTAGTCAGCAGCACTGACCACCGTCGGCGGATGTAAAAGTAAATTTTAACATGTATTAATACAGTTATTTATTTAATAGGCCTTAGCTGACTTAAGAAGACGATTAACGCCTTAAATGTTGAGTAACCTTAGAAGTAATTTCTATTTAAGATTATGAACATCTCCTACGTTACTACTTTTGTTACATTATTAAGAAATAAACAGTATTACTTATTAGTTTTTCAGTGTGTTGTAGCGAGTTTTTGTAAGGGGCCGTCCATAAATGATGTCACACGTTTTTTTAATATTTTTGTGTTATAAACTTTATTTATTTATATCTAACTAAAAATATTAAATTTATATCGTTTTTTTAAACATTTGTATTTTTAAATATATGAAACACCTTGCAACGGCATTCGACCCACGTTTTATTAAACTTCAGGATATATAGAACAACTGTAGCTATCAAAAACATTCACAAGTTTTTACATCAGAGAAGAATTTACCCTTGAAAAAAGACACTTTAGTGCGATCTTATTAAATTTTTAGGTAGATGGATGTATTTTTTATTTTTTGAAGGGCACAAAAAATTGAATATATGTTTAATTTTAATATTTTTATTGTATTACTTGCATGTAGGTAAGTAGCTATAGTCACGGCCAAATCTGTATGGGTGCACGTCATCAACGGCATATGACGTCAGCGTTAAGGTCTATTCATACGTGCCCAGACACAATCTAACGCTCGTGTATTGTTGACTATTTATAGCGGTGGGGGCTGTTATTAAGATGGAATTATAACGTCCTTGTTATAATCTTCTGCACTAACTAATTAGGAGTTTGTTACAGGCAAATTTTTATTAAATGTGTTTAAAGAGAAAACAAACGGAGTTTATTACATTTTTATTACATATGCACATAACAAAAATATACTAAATTATCAGAAACACAAAAATAATAAATTACCCGTCGTCCTTGTCATCAGAGCAAACCAGGTCAGAATTGAAGTCTGATTATTTCCCCAAATTTATTATTAAGGGCGCAATCTCTTCGAAATCTAATAACGGCTAGTTGCCAACAAGCCTTATATCATTGTTTGCACAATCCAGGGATAGAATCTTATAAACATAATGTATAATATTATTTATAATAATTTGCAACAAACGATGCTTCCGGACGAAATGTCACAATTACAAAAATACGTCAAATATAAAATGACAGCGACCCATCAATAATATTGAACGGTGCGCGCCAGCCTTAAGCTATTACCAACTGGCGCACACAAAAATTACTAAGTGAATGGTTTTATTTTGATAATTTCGTGAAAAAACGTTTTAAAACAAGGAAATTGTTACAGTTCTTGATATACAATACGCAAATGAATGATTTCTTTTTAATAACACATCAGAATTACGCCTTAAAAAAGCAAATTTAACGGCAGTAACTTTACAATTCAAAGTTGGTAATGCTGACGTCATTATATCTCATTGATGACGTGCACCCATATAGATTTGGCCGTGACTATACTTTGTAATTTTTTTATAAATAAATTTTTACATCTATTTTTTTATTTCTAGTAAAAATACCTACTATCATTTACTACCCTTTAGTAACAAAAAAAGTGCCCAAATATTTTTGTCCGCGTTTTAGGTCAAAATAAATGTCTGTACGACGCGTCGCGACGTGTCCAAACGTTTATTGGAACACGGCTCCATTTATGTAATATTTCATTTGGCTTATACACACTATATATGTATTGTGTAAATATTTTGACAGAACTTGCACAAAAATTTTGCACATTTTCAATGCAAACTTTGTGCGTAAATGCGGGCATCGCCTTAAACAAATTTTATAAAAATGCGTGCTTTCCAACGCGTTTGCATGCAAGATGTGTTTCAATAATATTATTAAGTATGTACAATTTATACATTTTTGGGCTTAAGCCCTCCTGAGCTACTTATAAAACCAAGGGACACCTCCATATATTTTATTAATATTATTAAAATGTTTTAAAAATATGTTTTTATAATTCGACAATTTATCTAAATTTACTTCTTTTGATGAAAATGTTAAACTAGTTTTTCCATTTTTGCTTTAGATTTTTCGAGATATTTGAAAAATATGAAGGGTATAAACATGGACACGTAAAGTTAAAACGTCCCAAGCAACTACAAGAAATTTTGGATATTGCGAGGGCATTATTGGCTGAAATTCAGCAACATGAAGCTGATCCTGAAATAGAAGAGAAGCAAGGAAAACTAGAGCAACTTAAAGGCGTATTGGAAATGTAATTTATTGTTGGAAAACCATAAAAATTTATAAAATACAAATTCATATTTTAGGTATGGTCACTTTTCTGGCATAAATAGGAAGGTTCAGATGAAATATCAACCAAAGGGAAGACCTCGAGGGTCTAGTTCTGATGATGGTGGGTGATAATTTTATAGAATTATACAGTAGTAGGGTGGACAATTTTTTATTTATAAAATTAAATTACCCGTGTTTGCAAAAGTTGCCATTTGAGTTAAAACAAACCCAAACAAATCTTTTTTGCTGCACAAGGCAAATGACGCATTGTGAAATAAGAAAATATTTTTTTTATGGTGACATTTTTATTTTTACTAGAGCTTTCAAGCTCTAAATGAAAGTATTTGTAACAAAAATATAGTATTTTTGTTGCATTCTTTTGAATTACAATTTTTTTTTTAATTAAGGTTGTCTGCGGGTTTAAATGTTGCTATTTGATGAGATTATTTAAAAAAAAATTTAATAACTGACAATTTTGCATGTTGCACATGATTTTTGGGGCGGTGACTTGTGCATGTGCAACATAATAGATTTTTTTTAGAATTTTCTTTGGTATATTACTTTTATGCTATTCAGAAACTTTTAATGCCTATCAGAAAAAACATGACTACATTATTATTATACAGGGTATTGCCTCGGGTGTTGCATGACTCAAGGCTATGTTAGATAGTTTTTAAACCTATTCTGTATTATATAAACACCCTAAAATAGTCTTGAGACTCGTGGCGGCTCGTGGTCAGTAAAAGTACTTCTTACTAATATATTACAAGTGATGTTAACAATTTTTTGGGCGCATCATAATTTTAAAAACTATTCTAAAATAACTTTAAGGCTATAACATGTATATAAAAAAATATTACACCCTATTACTTACTCTTTTATATTTATGTATGAAATATCTAATAATATATACATTTCAAAACACATTACAAATGCAAATTAACAAAAAAACGCACGTTATTCCGTTATTAAATATAAATTAAAGGAGAAAAACCTTACTCACCGTGTTATTTATATATATATATATATACAGCCTGTTTAGAATAAAACTGAATATATATATATATACAGGGTGTCCGGGAAAATGTGGGAAATCTCTCGGATTCAGATAGAACATGAAAAAATAAGATGACACGTTCCTATAAATTTTTTTCCTACTGGCCATCCTTATGGAGACATGGGCCCCGAAAGGACTTCCCTGCAAATTGGTTTTCCTTGAATAACTTTTAAAGTACTAAATATAATTTAATAAAAATTTAATATGATGGACCCTGGTAAGGACCTCTTAAAATAGTGTCATTGAAACATGTTTTGCTTTTTTTGTTTACCAGGGGCGGACTAAGACTTAAAAAAACCAAATCTGCATAGCTTGAACCTTAAACTAAAATAAAGGTACTCTTGTTTATTGTCAATAAAATGAACCGTTTTCGAGAAAAAGAATAATAAACAAATTCATGTTTTATTTTTTAATAAAAAGGACCATAAAAACATAATATCACGTATTGTTGCAAACCTTAACTTGAAGGACGATAATTCGAAACAATTAATTAAAAACTTTATAAGAGGGTTCAGCATGGGTTCCGTGAACTCTGATACATTCGCGGACACGACGAATTGAGGACTGCTGTACCCGCCAGAATAACCCAGAATTGTTTCTTATCATATCACAATAAAACGTGATAATCTGTAGAAGTTCCTCCCTAGTATCAATCGGAGTGGAATACACCAAGTTTTTTTAGGTATCCCCACAGGAAAAAATCCATCAGCCTAAGGTCGGGAAATCGAGGAGGCCAGTCCTCCTCTACCTATCCAACGGTTTGGATAAACGTTATTCAAGTGCTCCCGCACAGCAACGCTGAAATGAGGTGGTGCCCAATCGTGCAAGAAGTACATGTTTAGGCGGGTTTCAAGCGGTAAGGGCTCTATTAAATCCCGAAAAGCGTTTTGGAGAAACTCCAAAAAAGTTGTCCATTCAATCGTGCCAGCAATACTAATGGTCCAATCAAAATATTGCCAATGATTCCTGCCCACGTATTAATTGGTTGGAACTGATGTTGAAAATGCGAAACAATAGTGGCATGAGGATTTTCATCAGCCCATACATGTGTGTTACCTTTTTTGGTAAATCCTGCTTCATCCGTGAAAAGAAAACTTTTTTTACAAACGTAGGTACCTAAAATTATGAAGGAAGTCAATAATATTACTTTAATAAATGAAATTGTTCACCATTCTCTTCTTATTATTCGAAATCAGAAGACATTTTAACGAATTGACCAACGTCTTAGAGAGAATGGTGGACAATTTCAGTTATTAAAGTAATATCATTGACTTTCTTCATAATTTTAGGTAAGTTTGAAAAATATTTTAAATGCTGTAGATGACACTCCTTTAACGAGCACTCGAAAATTATCAGCACAGTTTAATACGTCGAAAACAATAGTGCATGATGTTCTTTAAGAACAGCTGTTATATCCTTATCATATGCAAAAAGTGCATAAACTTATTTCCGAAGATTTTCCTTGTAGAATGCAGTTTGCAAACTGGCTATTGGATCAGCAACAAAATAATGTAAACTTCATTAGCACTATTCTTTCCAGCCCTTATCACTTGAAACCCGCCTAAACATGTACTTCTTGCACGATGGGGCACCACCTCATTTCAGCGTTGCTGTGCGGGAGCACTTGAATAACGTTTATCCAAACCGTTGGATAGGTAGAGGAGGACCTATTGACTGGCCTCCTCGATTTCCCGACCTTAGGCTGATGGATTTTTTCCTGTGGGGATACCTAAAAAAACTTGGTGTATTCCACTCCGATAGAGGAACTTCTATAGATAATCACGTTTTATTGTGATATGATAAGAAACAATTCTGGGTTATTTTGGCGGGTACAGCAGTCCTCAATTCGTCGTGCCCGCGAATGTATCAGAGTTCACGGAACCCATGTTGAACCCTCTTATTAGGTTTTTAATTAATTGTTTTGAATTATCGTCCTTCAATTTAAGGTTTGCAACAATACGTTATATTATTTTTTATGGTCCTTTTTATTAAAAATAAAACATGAATTTGTTTATTATTCTTTTTCTCGAAAACGGTTCATTTTATTGACAATAAACAAGAGTACCTTTATTTTAGTTTAAGGTTCAAGCTATGCAGATTTAGTTTTTTTAAGTCTTTGTCATACGGGGTGTTCAAAATTTAAGCATTAAAAAGTAAAACTTAGTCCGTCCCTGGTAAACAAAAAAAGCAAAACATGTTTCAATGACATTATTTTAAGAGGTCCTTACCAGGGTTCATCATATTAAAATTTTATTAAATTATATTTAGTACTTTAAAAGTTATTCAAGGAAAACCAATTTGCAGGAGAGTCCTTTCGGGGCCCATGTCTCCGTAAGGATGGCCAGTAGGAAAAAAAATTATAGGAACGTGTCATCTTATTTTTTCATGTTCTATCTGAATCCGAGAGATTTCCCACATTTTCCCGGACACCCTGTATATGGGGCGTAGCCTCGCCTCCCTCCAAGGCGCGTCACAGTTGCTTGTGTAATAAACGACATGACGAAAGGTCGAGCAGGTAAGGACTTAAAAAATTAAATGATAATAATGCAAAAAATCTCATTAGCGATGCAGTCTATTTGCTTAGCTACTGTGTCGCGCGTTGGAGGGAGGCAAGGCCACGCCCCATATATATTCGGTTTTAGTATGAAAGAGCTGTATATATATATATATATATATACAGGGTGTTTCTTTTATCTTGAGACAGCTCAATATCTCGAGAAATATGCATTTCACGGAAAAATGTCTTAAATAAAAGGTTAATGTGACCAAAGGGGACATTATTTGGTGCTACCGCTAGCCACCCCCTACCCCTCCTTAAGTGTGAAACGGGGGGTAACTTTGGAAAGTCAAAAGGGATGATCCGATTTTTTTTACAGATTTTGGTAGTACATAAAAAAATGAATAACTTTTATTTATTTATCAACAGATGGCGCTTTAATTCAAAATTTAAGAAAAAGGGGTTTCCTTGTAAAATGTATTATTTGAAACGTTTGAAAAACAAAAATTAACATTAAATCAACAATAGTCGGCTCTGACAACAATTTATAACAAATGTTCAAAATGTCGTCCTTCCATTTCGACACCAAGTAAAGCACCAGCGTCCCTGGTCGGTAAACGTTTGGTGCGGTACCTTAAGCGAACGATTAATCGGACCCTTCTTTATTGACGGTGCATTAAATGGCGAAAAGTACCGGAATTTTCTAGAAAACGATCTGACGGACCTTTTGGAGGATGTACCACTAGCACGGCTCCAAAACATGTGGTACCAGCAAGATGGTTGTCCTGCACATTATTCGGCAATTGCTCGAGAGGTGTTGGATCAGGAACGCCTGTGCGGCGATACCGCCCGACATGTTGGCGCGTTGTGTGCCAGAATTCAATACCCGCATTCAAAAATGTGTTGAAATGGAATGACGACATTTCGAACATTTGTTATAAATTGTTTTCATAGCCGACTATTGTTGTTAATGTTAATTTTTGTTTTTCAAACGTTTCAAATAATACATTTTACAAGGAAACTCATTTTTCTTAAATTTTGAATTACAGCGCCATCTGTTGCTAAATTGAAAAAAGTTTTAAATAAAAGTTATTTATTTTTTATGTACTACCAAACTCTGTGAAAAAAATCGGGTCATTCCATTTGACTTTCCAAAGTTACCCCCCGTTTCACCCTTAAGGAGGGGTGGGGTGGCTAGCGGTAGCACCAAATAATGTCCCCTTTAGTCACATTAACCTTTTATTTAAGACATTTTTCCGTGAAATGCGTATTTCTCGAGATATTGAGCTGTCTCAAGTTAAAAGAAACACCCTGTATATATTAATAAGGACGGTACCATGTAATAAGTTGTCATCCCTTGGGGAATAATAGTTCACACCAAAGTAAGCAAGTTTTCCTCATCACTTTTGCATTAGTGCTGGGTACTGTTTTTGAATAAAAAAATCATGAAAATGAATGTAATTCCTAGGCATTTGTTTGGCAGCCACTGGATTCGTTTAAACCATGACCTACCTAGGTAGGTCAACAACTGACCGATTCTACTTGTCGACCTCAACGTTAGCTAACGTTGGGGTCGACAAGTAGAATCGGTCAGTTGTTTAACTATAATAATATATTTATATAAGTTACAATAAGTTATTTATATAATATATTTTTTTAGAGCATAACTATAGTTTGGCACAATTATGTAAAAAAACAACTTAAATGGGGCCCCCGGTCATTTTTAAAAATACAAATATTTTCATATTTGACATTGACCTGGGGTCCGCCCATTTCGCTTGTTTTTTAATTGTTCTTTAATTGTCTTGTTTATGCGTTAACTTCACTTATGTCCATTCAAGGATGTATAAAAACGCGTAAATATTATCACGCGTGATTTTTTAATATACGTGTGAGTTCAAATATGTAATCCTAATGAGCTCATAATGTCTTCATAAAATGAGAGATTGCATGGTGTGTGCATTGGGGTGGTGCGAAATATGAATATTTTAAAAATTAAAACCGCCTGTAGAAAACTTTTTAAAATTGATCGGGGGCCCCCATTTAGCTTTTTTTGAAAATCAAATTACCTAACTTTGGGAAAAAACCGTTTTCCACCTCCGTCTTATAATTTTTATATTTAAAATGGCTTTGGAGTGAAAGAAAAAAAAATCACCAAAATGTTTATTTTAACCATGCGTTTTCAAATTTAAAAATATTCATATTTTGAACCAACGTAGTGTGCATGGGCGTTTTTTTATTTTAAGCGGAAATTTTTATTGTAATTCCTTGGATATGAATTTTTTTGCGATCGTTACGGTGACATATAGGAATCCGAGTTGAATTAAGGGGTAAATTCGCGAATAACAGCGGTTTTTATTGAATTCATCGAACAGCCAATACCATTTTTGACTCGAAAAATGAGCTATACAAATTTGTATACTTACCTGATATTTTTAAATAGCTGCATATTTAACGAGTAATAACCGATTATTTAAAATAGGAAAAAAGGGGGATGATTTTTTATAAAGAAGCTCTGCCATCAAAAAAGTTTGAGAAACGCTAATTTACATTATAATTCGGATTTGCTTAACTTAATTGATGTATTGTAATTGATTAATCATTTTGAGAAGGCTTGCCTCCTCTGATGAGCCGTATAGGCCCTATACCATAACGTATTATTAATTATTCACCAAGAAATTTTTACGGGAGATTACGACTGTCCATTTTTTTTAAATTTGATATAGGACCATATAACATACATTGGTTAAGCTCTATTATTGAAATTTGAATAATAATTTGGGTACAATTGTCATTCTTTCATATTTTTTAAATTATTTGGAAACCACTGATATTTTGAAAAAAATAACATAACTTATAACTATTATTTTACGATGCGTAATAACCCCTTTAAATTTCGTAATGCATTACTGATACTCTCTAAAACATTTTAAAAATATATTTTTAAATTTTAGTGGACAAACCAGCTGAACCATCATTGGTCTTAATCTTAAAATGGGGCGGGGAATTGACTCCTGCTGGAAGAATCCAGGCAGAGGAATTGGGTCGAATTTTCCGTTGCATGTACCCAGGGGGACAAGGTAGACATTTTGCCGGTTGGTATTCAGCTTTTTATTTAACCCCAACTTTATTAGTTTTTAGCACAAAAGACCATTTATTTTTTCTTTTTGTAATCGCTGTTATTTGTTTACCCAATTTACTTTAGTTTTGATTTGCTGAAGTCTATGTATTCAGTTGAGTTTTTTATAATTTTTAAATTGTCTCCATAAATTAATTGTTCTAACTTTTGTACATAGCTGATTTAAAGAATGGAAACCTTGGTATACTATTCGCAAAAAACGCAACCCTAGAGATCAATCCTTTCTTTACCCCTTAATAACAACGAACTTTTAAGCAACATTATAAAAAACATTTAACAACATTGGGGATTTAATTATGTGCCTGGTCTTTATAAAACGGTAGTAAATGTTTAAATGTAAAATCTATATTAAATATTAAAAAACAATTTAAAAAAATAACATTTGTCGAGTTTCAATGTTGCACTCTTAATGCCAAGTTTGTAGGAAATTTTCTTTATAACTTAAATGTTTAGCCTTTTTTCAAAGGTTTATACATACTGGAAATCATTTACCGTGCTTAGATACACATTACCCGTTGTTTTTATATCTAGATGTTGCGTTTTATGTCAAGCAGTGTTTTGTCTTAGTGTTTGATTCTTTAAATTCTCTTTTTAACAAAATTAAATATTAATTTACGCAGTGTGTATTAATTAATACTGCTTTTCCTACATATTGTAGCTAAATAAAATCGCTTTATTCAATTTAATAATAGATTACGTTTGTTTTGTAATTTTTTCTTAGGCGAATACGCAGGCGCACAAGGTTTAGGTTTGCTAAGGTTGCACTCGACCTTTCGCCACGACCTGAAAATTTACGCGTCAGACGAAGGCAGAGTTCAGATGACAGCGGCGGCCTTTGCAAAAGGCCTATTGGCCTTGGAGGGTGAACTTACCCCAATTCTTGTGCAGATGGTTAAAAGCGCAAACACTAACGGACTCTTGGATAATGACTGTGATAGCAGCAAATATCAAAATATGTAAGAACTTCTTAAATTTTTCTTTCTATGTTTATTTGGTGTTGCTGTGTAACATTTAATAAATAATATATCGCACATGGGCGACCACAGTGTCATAAGTAAAAAAAACTGAATTTTGGGGTCTTTAGTGGAATAAGTGTAAAATTACTTATAGTTTATGCTGAAACAGTGGCATAAAGATATTTTTGAAATTAATCCCTAGTTGGAGACTTGTATCTGTTTGCAATTTGTATAATCCCTATCATAATTTTCATTAACAGTGTCATAAGTAAGTTGCCTGTAAGTTGTGACAACAATTTTGTTAGAGTAGGTTAGTAAAATTAAAGTTGTCAACAATAAAAGAATAAATAGGTGTTGCTCCTCACCTTAAGGTAAGGTAAGGTCGTGTGTTTAGGGTCTCGTTTTCATAGTGCTACCACCGCCATCGGTGTTCAAATTCATAAAATCAATTAATGATTCTACACGTGATCTACCAGAACCAAGTGCAAAAAGGGTGCAAATTGCGTGTGGCACCACCTCCTGGATTAAGTCCCAAAGTGCTCCACCTGTGAAAAAGGGTGTGAGTGAGGTGATTTGATACAACGAATAATTTTTTCTGGATTACCAACACAGAAACAACACGTGCTAATAGTTTGCTGTCAAGGTTAAGGAATAATTTTACAACACCTGCCTGACAATGCACCTGAATTCCAAGCCTGCATAAACTGAATAAGTAAACTCTCCAAAATTGGATGACCTTAATAATACCCAAATTCTAAATTTTAATGCGAAATTCGCAACCTCAAGTTATAAATAACTCGATCGGGTAAAAAATAATTAGTCGCCAACAGTTTCCATAAGAACAGCAAGCATAGCCAAAGAACTCATAAATAAGGGCTCACATGAGCATTCAGACTCAAGTCAAGTCTCAAGTTCAGATAAACACTAGGCAAAAGAAACTCATCCTAAATAAATAAATATCTGTAGATTACTAAGCACATTAAATCTTAAGTTAAATTTTAAGGGAACCATTACGTTCTATGCGAAATAATAAATAACCGCACAGTGTGTGAGTATCCCCAAGAAGACGTAAGTAAAGCAAAAAGCGCGAATGAAACAGATGTTTGCGGACGAAACAGGATGAAAGAAATGCAGGCAATTTCGGATAAAACCGACCATATGTTTGCGAGTAAAAGCAGAGGTTTGCAATTAAAAGCAGATGTTTGCGGATAAACCAGACCTTCGCGGATGAAAGCAGATCTTTGCGAATAAAAGCCAATGTTTGCAGGTGAAGTCGGACTAGGACTAAAGTAGATATTTGCAAATGAATGCAGACGTTCGCGGATAAAAGCAGATGTTTGCGGTTTCTTACCAAAATGATATCTGCTATTACAATTTCCCAATTAATTTACTACCTATGTATGTGTTAACATAGTTTAAATTCAAACGTAAAACTTCTAAAAGAAACAAAAAAGAAACATGTACCTACAACTCCTAACGGCAATGCTTTGATAAAACATGTTAACGTGCAAATACTTTGAGAAAAAAATCAGAATAAGCAAAAATCCAATAGGCTTGAAGCTGGTACATTTTACAGCCAAGGCAAAAAAATTTACACCCAATTTTAATATAACCTCAAAAGACCATCCATTACATATATCTTTCCACTTATCAGACATGACATATTATGTTCTGTGCATGACATGTTGATAAGATGATGGAGAAATCCTCGTAACTTTCTTAAAACGTGTGCGTAATAATGCCATTTAATTATATTGTATTATATTATTCCCTACACCATTACTGAAAAAAGAACAGAATCAAGAGTATTATTATTTCGATACTGATATTGATATTTTCGAAAAATTTTGTTAACCATTTTTTAGGTTAATATTATGCTAAAGCAAACCTGTTTTTGTTTTAAAATTTAATTTAGATTTTATGGTAGTACTGTTATGTTTCTTAGTTTTATTTGATTATCACAACGTAAAGTTTAATATGATTGTTAAGAATTGTACTTAGCTGTGTATATCAATCAAAATAAATTAACAAGAATAACTTCTAACTACTTGCTCATGATTTAAATATACCCCAATAATTATTGTACCTTACAGTAAGACAATTGGCTTCATATTTCAAAAACCAGTGTATGTGTTTGAACATGCATTTTAAAGCTTCCTCTATTATCTTTTAAAATGACCCTCGGTTGCAAATAGCAAGGATATAACAATTCTTTTCATAGAAGTTTTAGTTTAATGTTAAAATTTTAGTATGGAACAAAGAGTTGTAATTAAATTCCACACAAAACTTCGTAAAATTGCATCAGAAACACTCCTATTGATGCAGCAAGTATACGCTGTTAATTGTCGAGATAAAATAGTTAATAACGTTTTTTGGAGAATGATTAACGTCAAGTAATTTTAGCTCGGACACCCGAAATGATCGAAAAAGTACATGATTTTATTGAAGAAGGCCCAATGCTTCACTGAAAATGATTCAGAGGCCTTAAACATTAACCGAGAAACGATTCGACTCATTCTTTATGAGGATTTGGGAAAAACTAAAGTCGAAATTTGTTCCACACACTTTAAATTATGATAAAAAATATCTTTTGTTTATCTCGAAAACGAAACTTTAAAACATAAAAGTTTATAAAAACGTTTATTTTTAATTTGCGAGTTCTATCGATTTCTAAATTTTCCCGATTAAAATTTGAGACACTCTGTAGATTGGCGACAGGTATTTAACTAATAGAAAATGAAGTACAGCTTGACAAATCTAGCTAGAGATGTGGCTCATCGATGCGCAGATGCCAGCTCTTAAAATCGTCATTTGCATTGAGTTTGTCTTAGGATAAAGAACGCTCCGCACACTGGATTAAAATGAAAGTAAATCAAGTACTCTTGGATAGGGCCGTTTCGTGCAGCCCAGGGCTCCCAGCAGGTAGTTTTTTTAAAGACTTGTCAATATTTTTGTCTTAAGTCTATAAAGTCTATATTTTCTGTTAAAATCAACTATTAAAAAATATTTTTTTAAATATAAATATTCACAGTTTTATAAATATCGAAACCACAGTAAAACAAGTGAAATATTCGAAAACTTCGCAGTTTACATTTAAAGTTCCCGCCGTCCAGAGCCGAACCGCCCGCCAAAATTATTGCTGAATTGTTTCTGGTTTGGTCTAGGGTTTCGTTTACGTTTATAGTTTCGGTTCGCTAGGTTAACACTACCTATATATGCATTTTTCATGAAATTAGTAAGTACCTAGTTATCTATCAAAGAACATGTGACAAAGAATGTGTATAACTATAGTTTTGATTATTAAAAATTATACGTTTATATTATTTAATAAAAACAAAGTTTAAATTTACTTGTACTGACATAAAAAAAATTAAATTGAACGATTAAGGAAGGGTGCAGAAAATAAAAAAATGACTAAAATATGTATGGCTCAACTAATGTTTGAAGGAGTGAACCATCCCAAAAAAGAAGCGGGGAAGGTAACTTACAAGATTAGTCATCTTGCCCAAGATTTAGAAAAACGAAAGGCGAAAATTGTAGATCAGCTGCAGCCCACCAAAAAAAATATAACCCATGACTGATGCCAGTGCCTTTTATATAAATGTGATTTTATTTATTATAATTATAATAACTTAAGTTATAATTTATTACAGAATTTATTTATTATTTATTTATGTATTTTATAACAGTTATGGTTACTTGTTAAATTTAATTCAATACAAATTTATAATTTCAAGTTATCTCTATGTATTTTAAATTCAAATTTAGATCTTTTATCCCGAAAAAATGTATACCTCCATTTTATAGTTAATTCGGTAATTAATTTGGTCTATATTTGGTCGTTTATTTTTTATTATTAGTCTCTTAAGTCACTATTTCTCGCAACATGGGCTGCTGGGAGCCCTGGTGCAGCCTCTTGCTGCATAAAGAAAATGACACTAGCTATCACCTCTCTAGCTTGACCTGACAAAACTTTACACTTTAATTTTGATTTAAAATCCATTATCAATAAAAGCGGCTACTCGGCTACTCACTACTAGGCTCTTTAAAAATAATTGTCAATTTACCATCATTTGTTAATACTTATATCAATACCCAAGTAGCAAAATAGGTTTTTTAAGGTATACAAGGCCTCCAAAACTACTCTTAAGAGTAATTTGCATTGCTTAACAGCAGCTATACAGCTTCGATAAAACCATCATAGGGCTAAAAAGGAGAATACTATCGCTGTCCTTGGGAGCAATTTGTATGTCAGCCACAAAGGAACTTTGCTTTATTGTATTACTCCTAAGGCACACCTTACATCAGCCATAAAACCTACCTTACAGCTGTCATCAAACCTGCTAAGCGCAATAGGTTTTAAGGAGGTAGTATACTTTTGTCCTAAACACATTTTAGCTGACAATTTGTACTTATTGATATACCTTTTTACTTTATTGTTGTACTTTGTAAATTCCATATTGCTTTAATCAAATACTTGTTTGGTATATTGCTGCCCTATGGAACACTAAGCTGTTTCACAAGCATAGGCCATTATTGATTTAAAAAACTTTCGGATGCAAAAATCATAAACAAATACCACTTTACTGATAAAAGTTGATTGCCGAGAGTCTCGGTCCGAGACACAAAACGTATGATGCCCACTAAAATGCACTTAATTTAAACAATTTTAAAGGCTTTGGCTAAATTACTTACCCAATATACATTCCGTTTTTAAAGCCATCTCTTATCTCTATAATGCTTTGTCAGATGATAACACCTACAAATTGTCTTAATTGCTGTGATAGAATGATGCGGATTTAGCTCTTGGTTGAAACAGGACGTTGAAGGAATACAATGAGTATTATCAACCGGATGTTTTGCCAACAACACAGAAAAACAACTTTTAACAGCTCTTGTAGGAGCAACTTTGTTTTTCTATAAAAATTTCCACTTTTTTTTAACTTTTAACCACCGCTCTAAAAAACTCCTCGTGCATGGCGGCGACATGTTGACCAGAGTTATTTTCTTTGCGATTATCAAGACAAAAACGTTTCAAGAAAGAAATAATTGCAACAAAATGGTGTACACTCATGAAAGTTGCAAATTGGTTATATTACTATAGGAACAATCATAAAACCTTTTTACTGTTTGGTTCTGAAACATTTTAAGTCGTAAGACCAAATGCTCCTATGAGTCGGCTTTAACAGATGCATTAAAGCCAACTTTCCGAGCACCATTTAAACCAATAGGCATCTGATAAACCTTCATAAAGCTTATTGGACTATAATAGTTTCTTAGGGGCAATTTGCCCTAAAAAGCATTATTGGTTAACAGTAATAAATCAATGTTAAGATCATTAAGCCTAATCATAAAGCTTGTTTATCTCAAGACCAACTAGCACAAAGTAGAGCTGCAATAAAATAAAAAGCATGTTTTTATGCATTTATAAAGCTGACAACCCTTTGCTAATTGGGTGAAAACGTACCTAACCCTAACACAAATTTTCAAAAGGATTATAACCTATTTTTATTTGCATTGTTACCTCTTTTAAACATACCTTAACTTTATAAGAAACTCTTCTGCTTAAAATACCCCATAGGGACCTATACAAAATAATCTATCGGGCGCTACCGGATTCAATATGTGCATTTGTCCATGGTTTTTTCCGGATACGGCCCGATAGAAAATGTATAGGAAATTACCTATAGGCACACCATAACTTTTACATTTTCCCTATTGAGACCGATAGCAAATAACTTAATGAAGGATATATAGGGATATCCCTATAGAGCAACCATAAAACATTTGTCAAAATTTTATTAAAACCTATAGGGTTCTATGGGGGAAAACTAATTTCTACATTTATGTGTATTTTCCCTATTGAAACCAATAGCAAATAAATCAAGGGTGAATATCCCTATAGTACAACCATAAATCCCAACTATGGGTCCTACACATACCGATACACCCTATAGAAACACCATACATTCCGATACAAATATCTATCGGTTTAAACATGGTCTCTATGGGGTATTTTAAGCAGGGTCTTGTTTACCTTAAATACATATAATTCTATTCTAATTGTATAAATTAATCAAAAATTTACTATTTTTTACTCTTAAATAACTTTAATAATGTTGATATTTAAACCTTTTAGTCCTCTGTGCGGCCGTATCATGCATCTCTTTTCTTCCGAATGCGTTCTCTCTTTAAAGTTTTGCGCACACTGCAGGTCTTTAAAGTCTCTAGCTAGATTGGTCAAGTATGCTCCAGACTATGCGTGATTCGCAAATCGTGATGCGCGATGCTTTATTTGTCTGATTCGCAGTGGACTATGCGTGTAATCGCGATTTGTATTCGCGTTGGCGTGATTCGGCTTGTATGCTGTTGTGGAGTTTATGAACAAAGCCTACACACTTGCTTGTAAATTCGTGTTTAGTAGTTTTTGGCTGTTAAAATGTGGAATCGCTGCGAACAAACAGCTTTGTTTACGAATCGATGTTAAACAAACAACTCCCTACACGCTATTGACGTCTAGAGCCGGCTTAACGTCCGGGTAGTTGCGTTATCTTTTTCCGACTTATGGTCAGCTAATTATTCTTAGTATGTATGTGTATGTATGTAGCTGGTTCATTTACAATTTATTTTATATCTGCCAAGTTTGTCCATTTTACGACACAGCGTTAACAACTAAACTAATTTTTTCGATATTTTTATATTAATTATTTATTGTAGCAGTTTTAACGTTATCGGTTAATCTTAAACTTATCAGATTTTTGTTCAATAATATATTATTGTTGAAGTGAGATAAAAAAATCTAAGATGACCCTACTGTAAAATTTAAGTAGCACCATTCGCAAAGACAATGTTTTTTGAATTAAATTTGACAAGAGAACGTTTTAAACAGGTTAATAAAAACTTTTATTCTTAAAATTAGAATAATATATTATATGATATTATCATGGATAGGAAAAAACCTATGACAGGACTAAACATACTCAGTCAATTTAACAATGTAATAAAATTGTCATATTATGATTTAAAACAATTGTTTGTCGTAATTAAATTTCTAAAATTTATTTTTAGGTGCAAATCAAAATTACATGAACTTATGCAAATAGATAAAGATTTTACGCAATTAGATAGGGAGAAGATAAATCCGTGCAATTCTTCTAGTATATCAGATGCTTTAGATTTTGTGAAAAATCCTGTAAAATGTTGTAAACATGTCCATGAATTAATAAAAAATCTTTTGGAGATTGTACAAGTCAAAAAGGAAGATCTTAAAACAAAAGGTAAATAAATGCTTACCTAAAATAATTGAAGGTATTATTCATATTTTTGTTTAAGATGCAATTTTGTATCATGGAGAAACTTGGGAGCTGATGGGGCGACGTTGGGGTAAAATCGAAAAAGATTTTTTCACAAAAAATAAAACTTTTGATATCAGTAAAATTCCGGATATTTACGATTGCATTAAATATGATTTGCAACACAATCAACATACTTTACAATTTGAACAAGCCGAGGAACTCTATATGTATGCTAAATATCTTGCAGACATTGTCATTCCCCAGGTAAGCATACGATTTTTTTTAATTGTCTTTATACAGGGTGGTTCAAAAGTAATAGGACCAAAACAACAGAAATAAAATGGTAAGATTTATTTATTTACTAGGATTATTATATATATATATATATACATGCACGGCTATCAATACGAAGCCCGGTGCATTACACTGGCTAGTCGAAGCCCGGTAATGCGGGACGGGGCGGTTAACTGTTAGTTGGTGCATAAACAACAAGAGACACACTCCGCTGTGTATCAGAAGCCCTGCGGTGTTGCCAATGTCTAAATTTATAATTATAGGCAAATTTGATTTAAAATACCTAGACTATACCTAAACTTAACAATATTCTTAAATAATGACGTAGGTATACTTAAATATTTAATAATATTGTTGAATTATAATTATCATAGTACTTAATAATTATCGTTAATAGTATATTACACTACAAGGGCAGAAAGTGTGAGATTCCTGCACTGCGCGCCATGATGCCCGAGGCGAAGCCGAGGGCATCATGGCGCGCAGTTCAGGGCTCTCACACTTTCTGCCCGTGTAGTGTATACTATTTTTCTTGCTACCCCGCAGAAAATACGGGAAAAATTAAATGCATATAAAAAAACTTGTGTCAAAATTAAAATATGACGTTTAATTTAATTCTGACGTTTACATTCAAAATCAATCAAACTGTAGCGTTGTCATGGTAATTCAGCGGTGCCAATACAGTAAAAATAAAAGGTTGTATTTTAATTAACAAATTACTACTTTATAACAAATAAAAGTACCATTAAACACTTAAAACAACATAAAAAGTAAAAAAGTAAAAACATAAATTGTTTATTTGTTGTTATAATTGCAAAATTATGGTTTAAAACTGTCATATTTTTGTGTTTCTCATGTTGGCAGTACGAAATTTGAATGTTAAGCACACGACTAAAAAATTTTTACTCCCGCTATTAGAGTGTGCGCGTATAGCTTGACCAATGCAAGAAACGTAAACTTTCTGCCGTGAAATCGGGGACGAAACAACGTATTTTGAGTCGAGGTAGTAAGAAAATTATAATTATTTATATTATAATAATTTAAAAGTATTGTTGAATTTAGGTTCCTATAGGTGTAAACATTTCATTTATTTTGTTTATACATCATAATTTTGAAAAGGTTTAAATATATTATACAGGGTGCTCTACAAGCTCTATGGCAAACTTTGTCAGATGATAGCTGGGTTAATTATAAACATTTTTTCTTAAATGACATGGATGCGATTCGTTTTTGTTTAAAAGTTAAGCCTTAAAAAAATATATTTCCATGTTAATAAAAAATATACAAATATATCAATAATTATAATTATTATAAGAATTAATAATTATTGTTGAGGTTAGGTAATTTTGTGTAAAACTTTAATGGGAATCAAAACAAGTGAAACTGACTGAAAATTTTTTTCATGAATTATAAAGACATCTAGTTTTTTTTAAATTATTAGATTTAAATACACCAAAAATTCTAAAAAATCTAAATAATGACGTATACTTTAATACACTGTCCGACAAAATTATCGCAAAATAAATATAAAAAAATTAACTCTAAAACGCCTTTACCAATCTTTATGAAATTTTGGATAAAAATACTTCAACTTATATATTACGTGTTAGAGGGTTTTTCGAGAAAATATGTTTAAAGCCTTTTTATTTAATAATGAAAAAAAATTCGAAATATAACTTTTAGGGAATTTTTTTAAATAAATAAAAAATATGCTGTTAAAGAGCGTATTTTTTTTAGTACACCCTGAAAATTTTGTACAAATCAAACGAACATTAACGAAGATACAGCGCTTCAAAGTCGGTAAAAATGACGCCTTTTTGATTATTTTGCTGAAAAGTGGTCATTTTTCACGACTTTGAAGCGCTGTATCTTCGTTACTGTTTGCTTGATTTGTACAAATTTTTCAGGGTATACTAGAAAAAATACGCTCTTTAACAGAATATTTTTATTTATTTAAAAAAATTCCCTAGAAGTGATTTTTCGAACTTATTTTCATTATTAAATAAAAAGGCTTTAAACATATTTTCTCGAAAAACCCTTGAACACGTAAATTGAGATATAAGTTGAAGTATTTTTATCCAAAATTTCATAAAGAATAGTAAAGGCGTTTTAGAGTTAATTTTTTTTATTTATTATGCAATAATTTTGTAGGGCAGTGTATTTAAAAATAGTGATGAATTATAAGTCATTATTTAAAAATATTGCCTAAATTTATAATTATAGGCAAACTTGATTTAAAAGACCTAGACCAGAGTTGAGGAGCATCCGTGAAAAACCGGCTATATCCATTTTAATAAGTTGGGAAAATTTAGGAAAACTAAACCAAATTAAAAGTTGAAAAATTAAAAAAAGAAGTGGGGAAAATTGCTATTTAGTTTAGCATCCTATAAACAAGAAAAATGTATTACCAAGCAAATATTGTTTTATAGCTACATTATAAAGTTAAAGCTGCCTTTTATCCAATAAAAATCGTAGAAAAAATATTACTTTAACCAAAACGGTTGATAAAATAATATTGTAATGGTAAGTATAAATGGACAATCCTTATCTAAAAGGAACCAAGCGCCAAAAACTATTTTTGGACTTAACAAAATTTTTTGTAAAATAACTCATTTTTAATAATGCTCAAAAAGTTTATCATTATTAAGAACTTCTTTTAAATTATTGAGAGGACTTTCAAATTATAATTAAGTTTTTGAGCAGCATTAAAAATGAGTTAGGTATATACAAATAAGTTTGTTAAGCCCCGAACAAGTTTTTGGTTCCATTTAGATAAGCACTATCCAAATAAAGAACCCAATTTATTATTGTTGTTTGGTCGTTGTTTGCCATGTATAAATAAATTGACCAGTTGTGAATGTTAATTGACAAATTGCCATGAGAAGCTATCTGTCAAAAAGCAGTTTTTGCAATTCAATGTTACATTAAACATCATACCGCTCTTTTTTAAATAAATTAAAAAAATTTTTTTTTTAAATTATTTAAATGTAACATTGAATAATAATAATATATACAAATCCCCTTGTTTCCCCAATTAAAACTATGTAAAATATCTGGACAACTTGTAAAACCGCCCCAAAGAAAAATGCACTCCAAATAATATTTCAAAAATAAATAATTCTTTAAAATTAAGTGTATTACGAAAGTATTTAACAAAACATTGCCTTTTAATCCACGCCATGTAGTGAACAAAACATAATTTTGGGAATATAACATTTATTTTGAAAATCAGTAGATACAAATTTAAGAATCCCGCATTATTTTCCCCGCCTTCCTATCAAAAAGTCATCGAGCGTATAGTCCCCATTGTTGCCAGATGTACGGGCTTCGTATACTGCGTAATACTTATACAAAGCTGTATATAATCTCGTTTGACTCGTGTGCCCCCTACCGCCAAAGCATTGGAACTAAGGGTGTATATTTTGATAGGTTTGAATGGCATTAGGAAGCCCACCACTTTTTCGCCATTGAAACAAGGGGGCATCACTTAACTCTAAAACAAATTTATACACGCTAATTTTAGGAAGCCCGATTTCGGGCTTCGTAAAAACCGAGTGGGCTTCGTTTATACTGTAGAATGTAACGTTTCGGGCTTGGTAATGTAGGATTGCATATCTATATATATAAATATATACTTTTGTATATATATATATATATGTATATATAAATTAGGGTGCTTAAAAAAAATTTTTTTTTCGCTCTTACCCTCTCAAATGTTTTTATTTAATATGACCCAAATATGGACGTTCCAGCTCAACTCTAAGAGGTCGCTGTTTTTATTTTAGTTTCCCATTGAATTAACATGGGAAAAAATTAATTTATGTTTGGAATTTTATACCTCTGTATTAATGTAACTTATGGCAATGATCATTGCAGTTTCTTATATAAAATTTAACGCTCTACAAGAAAGGTCTCTTATTATTTTTCGATAAATTGATTTCTTCTAGAGTTATTCGAGGTCAAAGTTTTCCCCCTTTCACCTCCCGTCTGCTAATTGTACCAGAAAATTTAATGTTAATCAAACTTTGACCTCGAATAACTCTAGAAGAAATCAATTTATCGAAAAATAATAAGAGACCTTTTTTGTAGAGCGTTAAATTTTAACCGCAATGATCATTGCCATACGTTACTTTGATACAGAGTAGGGTGGTCCTTAATAAGGTTATTTTCAAATTTCTTTGCTCCCAGGGGCTCAAATGCTTCCAAATTAATAAAAAAAAATTCCCTGAAAATTTAAGCTCTTAATATTAACTCTAAGATAGTGCGCATTCCAATCTAAGTTTCCTATGGAAATAACATAGGAAAAATTACTTTTGTTGTTTATAATTTTATAACTTGGGAACGAATAAATTAAAAATTATAAATCATACATATTTTTATAGAGAATTTAACGCTCTACAAAAAAGGTTTCCTATAATTTTTCCATTAGTCTATTTGTTTAAAAGTTATTCAACGTCAAAGTTTAATTTTCATATTATTATTAATATTATCAAGGCTTTTTTATGACGGGCCGTTTGTGTCAAATTTAAAAGTGCTAAATAATAGTTATTTATGTATTAAGGGCATAATAAGGTTTTTATGGTCCGAGGCGCTATTTCGAGCCCGAGCGCGTTAGCGCGAGGGCTAGAAAAGCGTCGTAGGACCATAAAAACCAGTTATGCCAGCAATGCATACAAAACTTTATGCACGATTAATATATTAATATTTTTAATATATTAATGTTTTTAAAGACGTTTACGTCAAAGAATTTTTGATATAATTGTCATATTATAATGTCAACTGACATCAGTCAGTTTTAAAGTTTAAAGATGAATGAAATTGAGGAAGCAGCTGAAAAGGCGAAAAATTGCGGCCTGCTGCCGGAAAAATCAAAATCTTTATACGAAAAAACTTACTTCGAATATATCAAATGGTGTAACATTGTTGTTTTTAATTTTTGACGTTTCATTATAGCCCGCTGGGTCATAATA